GCTCAAATCCCCCTGCAGGGGAACATGCCCGACCTCAGGTTGGGTCGGGCATGTCCCCCTCCAGGTCGGTTTTGGCCGAAACCTCAAAATATAGTCGAGACGAATGTTAAACAAGGATCTGGAATCGTAGGGGAACATCGTCCCCAGATTTATATTTTTGTACTATCTTTGAGGATTCCTCCCGTAGAGGGACACGCCCGACTTAAGCCCAGGGCCGCCGCGCACCGTGGCGAGCGCTCCGCGCCGTCGCGCCGGAGGGGGATCTGGGTCGTGCGGCCGCTCGAGGGTTCCAGGGAGGCCCTCGAGGCGAAGAGCTGGGAAGGTTTCTTTTTGGTTGCTCCCTGGGCCAGACATCCGATGTTCCGTCCTCCTCCGTGCCGCTCCTTGGCGCGGGCGCCTGGCAGCCTGCCACTGTGCGCGGGCCCTCTTTGCGGCCATCGCCGCCTCTCTTTAATCGGCGAATGTCTGCACAGCGGAGGCTGGACCTTGATTGCCCTGCCCCCAACCTTCCGGCGCTGGATCCTGTGTTCGAATGGAGTGCTGGGGTCGCGCATCCTGCATCTTCCCGCCTCCCTTCTCTCCCCTCCTCCCGCCTGCCTGCCAGCTCGCCTCCAATCTCGCCGCCCTGCCTGGGGGCTCGCTGGGGGACTGCGCAACTGTCGCCAATCTCGATGGCTGCTGGGGGGGCCACCTTAGGGGGTACTGAGCGCAAATTCGGATTAGACCTCGCCATCCCTGAAGGGACTGCGAACTACGACTGTTTCATCATTTTCGAGGGCTGCTGGAGGGTCAGCTTGGTGGGTACCGCGCGCAGATTCACATTTGATCTTGCCATTCCTGGGGGGGGCTGCGAACTGCAACACCGTCGCCACTTTCGAATGCTGCTGGGAGGCAGCTTAGTGGGTACCGAGCGTAGGTTAAGATTGAACCTTGCCATCCATGGGTGGGCTGCGGACTGCGAAATGGTCGCCACGTTCGAAATTGGTGGGCACCGAGCGCAGATTCGGATTAGATCTCGCCGTCCCTGAGGGGGCTGCGACCTACAATCTGTCACCACTTTCGAGGGCTGGTTGGGTGGGGCCCAGGTTGGTGGGCACCAGCTGCAGATTCAGATTAGACCTCGCCTTCCTCGGGGGGGGCTGATCAGCGAAACTGTCGCCACTTTCGAAGGCTGCGGGGGGCGGGGGGGGGGCGTAGTGGGTACCAAGCGCAGATTGAAATTGGACATTGCCATCCCTGGGTGGCTGCGGACTGCGAAAGTGTCGCCACTTTCGAAGGCTGGTGGGGTGGGGGCCCTCGTAGTGGGTACCGAGCGCAGAATCAGATTAGGCCTCGCCAGCCATCCCTGGGTGGTCTCGAACTGGGAAGCTGTCTGGCAGGCTAGTGGGTACCGAGCGCAGATTAAGATTAGACCTCGCCATCGTTGGGGTGCTGCGAACTGCGAATCCGTCGCCACATTCGAGGGCTGTTGGGGGGCAGCTTAGCGTTGTGTTATGCAGATCGGGGCTGCGAACTGCGACACTGTCGCCACGTTCGAGGGCTGCGTGGAGGGCTAAGCTAGTGCAGTGCTGCGTAGATCAGCGTGGGACCTCGCCGCCCGCGAGGGCTGCGAATTGCGACACCGTCGTATGTTCGTTGACCCCTTCGGGGGCAAGCTTGGTGCGTTGTTACGGAGATCCGAGCAGAACCTTGCCATCCTTGAGTGGCCGCGAACTGCGAAACCGTCGCCCTCTTTCGGAGGCTGCTGAGGGGGGGGAGCAGCTTAGCGCGGTGCTGTGCAGATCAGAGTTGACGTTAGGTGTTGATCTTGCGAAGGCAACCCGTGCAAAGAGCCACAACTTGTTGCATCAGGGTGCGGCGCGCTCTGGCTCACTGTTGCCTGGGGGAACTTTGTCCGCTCTCCCTCGGCTTCACCTAGCCTGCATTCGAGCCGGATATGCTGTTCAGCTTTATGTCCAGCTGGATCTTGAGGCTCGCCCGAGGCGCGTTCTGGTGCTCCCTTCCCCGCAACCCTCCTCCTCCTCCTCGGCCTCCCCCCTTTCCTCCTCGTCCTCCCCCTCCTTTTCTTGCTCATTCTCCACGTCATCCGCCATCTCGTCGTGCAAGGGCGCCACCCCCCAGCCACAGGCGGGACCCGGAGCGTTCAGGTCTGCATCGTCCGCCGCAGGTCCCAGCGAGAAACAAACAAGAGTTGGGCCTCGAGATCTGGAGTTGGCGTATCGTGACATTGTCACCATCTTTGTGGGTTCCTTGGGGGGCCGGCTCAGTGCGGCGCTACGCACGCGATGGGTTCAGATCCCAGCCGGTCGCGTGAGATCCCAACCGGACGGTTCAGATCCCAACCGTCTAAAACACCAGGCACGGTCAGATCCCAATCGAGGAGGAAGCGAATAAAGAAAACATATTGAAATGTTACCATACTTGTCCACTGCTATCTGAAATTGCGATGGACACCTTCCAGGAGCAGATTTACGGGTGAGCTATTGCGGTTGGGATCTCGCGCGTCTTTTGCTGGATCGTAGTAGTGGTAGAAGTAGTAGTGGTAGTCCTAGTAGTAGTGAAAGTAGTAGTCGTCGTCGTCGTAGTAGTAGTAGTAGCAGTAGTAGTAGTAGAAGTAGTAGTAGTAGTAGTAGTAGTAGTAGCAGTAGCAGTAGCAGTAGTAGTCGTAGTAGTAGTAGTAGTAGTAGTAGTAGTAGTAGTAGTAGTAGTAGTAGTAGTAGTAGTAGTAGTCGTCGTCGTCGTCGTAGTCGTAGTAGTAGTAGTAGTAGTAGTAGTAGTAGTAGTAGTAGTAGTAGTAGTAGTAGTAATAGTAGTCGTGGTTGTATCGGCGTAGTAGTCGTAGTAGTAGTAGTAGTAGTAGTAGTCGTAGTAGTAGAGTAGTAGTAGTAGTAGTATAGTAGTAGTAGTATAGTACATAGTAGTAGTAGTTAGTAGTAGTAGTAGTAGTATAGTAGTAGTAGTAGTTAGTAGTAGGTAGTAGTACTACTAGTAGTAGTAGTAGTAGCAGCAGTAGCAATAGTAGTAGTAGTAGTAGTAGTAAGTAAGTAAGTTGAGTCAGTCAGTAAGTATAGTGGTAGTAGTAGTAGTAGTCGTCGTCGTCGTCGTCGTCGTCGCAGTAGTAGTAGTAGTAGTAGTAGTAGTAGTAGTTTGTAGTACTAGTACTAGTACTAGTACTAGTAGTTGTAGTACAGGTAGTAGTAGTAGTAGTAATAGTAGTAGTAGTAGTCGTCGTAGTCCGTAATAGTAGTAGCCATCGTAGTCGTAGTCGTAGTGGTTGTAGCACAAGTAGTAGTAGTAGTAGTAGTAGTAGGAGTAGGAGTAGGAGTCGGAGTAGGAGTAGGAGTAGGAGTAGGAGTAGTAGTAGTAGTAGTAGTAGTAGTAGTAGTAGTAATATTAGCAGTAGTAGTAGTAGTAGTAGTAGTAGTAGTAGTAGTAGTGGCGGTAGTAGTAGTAGCATTAGTAGTAGCAGGAGTAGTAGTAGTAGTACTTGTACTTGTACTAGTAGTAGTAGTAGTAGTCGTAGTAGTAGTAGTAGTAGTAGTAGTAGTAGTAGTAGTTGTAGTAGTAGTAGTAGTTGTAGTAGCAGTAGCAGTCGTAGTAGTAGTGCGAGTAGCAGTAGTAGTAGTAGTAGTAGTAGTAGCAGCAGCAGTAGTAGTAGTAGTAGTAGTAGTCGTCGTCGTCGTAGTAATAGTGTTAGTTTCAACTGTATTAGTAGTATTACTAGCAGCACCAGTAACCGCAGTAATACAAACAATAGGTCGTACTCGTTGTAGTAGTAATAAACGTACCAACGCACGGTGCCAACGACAATAAAACCACAACTAACGTGAGACGGTCAAGAACGACAGTAGTTGCAGCAGCAGACATACACGTAGCCGAAGTACGACTCGTACGAGTAGTGCGAGATGCCAGTACTAAGTGTAGTATTGTTTACGGTGGCAAGTGTAGGAGTACATGCGTTCTGCTATAATATGTTTCGTTGGCCGAACATGAGCAGCCCTGGGGGGGGGATGCCGTGCCGACTTCACGAGTGCAACCAAAAGAGCTCTAAGAGGGCCCCGCGGGGCAAACATCGCCCCAATTCCGTGGACGAGCGCACATGTTTAGCATGCTCGCCGTGTCGATCCGAAGAGCGTCCAACATGGCCGACACAGGCCCCAAAACTGCCCCTAAGATGACCCCAGTGGGCCCCAGACGGCCGAGCAAGCGCCCAGTGGTGCCCAAGGGGGCCACCGAGATCGCCAGCGGGCTCTGCAGAAAAACGCCTCCTCGGATTCCTAATCCCGCTCGTCCCCCTTGCCCGCATCAATCCTGCTCCTCCTCCTCCCCCTCCTCCTCCTCCTCCTCCTCCCCCCCGTCCTCTCCTCCTTCCTCCTCCTCCTCCTCCTCCTCCTCCTCCTCTTCCTCCTATCCTTATTCCTTATTAGAATATACTCCTACTCCCCCCTCAGGCCGGCAGATAGCGGGCGCATCCGGGTGGTCCCATCCTAACCTGTAAAAAACAATACAAAATCAACATTTTTCTTATTTTTTCCTCTCGACATGGACGTCCTGTCGTCCACGGCGATAATCCATTGCAAAAAATACCACAAAGAGCACACGCGCGCGTTCATGTCAGAATCCTACCGAACACCGTGTGTTTGCAAGCATTTCAACATAAAAACATCAAAAACCCAATGCTTTTTTTCACAAAAATTGTACAAATTTCCCGCCCGGGCTCTCTTGCTGAAATCATAGGAAAACCATAGGAATCTTAAGAATTCGGTCGAATCCAGCGATTTCACGTCATCGCGCGGTGCACTCGCGATGCTCTGTCATGCACCCAGGCCGCGAATCCTGTGCAAAAAATATTACAAAGAGCACACTCGCGCGTTCATGTCAGAATCCTACCGAATACCGCGTTTTTGCAAGCATTTCAACATAAAAACATCAAACACCCAATGCTTTTTCACAAAAATGCTTTGGGGTGTCCTGTCAGACCGTCGGGCTTCCTCCGGCCACCTCTGGCTTCCTGCGGTGTACCGGGCCATTCTCGACTCGTCTGGCAATGCGTGCGCGGCATTCAACACGCGCTCGCCAGTTCCCGTCGGCAACCGCCATCGCGGCCGCATCAGCTGTACCAAACCGGCTGGCCGGTGTGACTTCGGCCCCCAGTTGTGCCAGCTTTGCTTCTTATGTTGTGGGAGGGCGGGTGGGACTGGGCATGCCATGCTTGACTCGCTCGAGCTGGCTAGCTTGACTCCTATCCTTATTCCTTATTAGAATATAATCCTACTCCCCCCTCAGGCCGGCAGATAGGGGCCGCATCCGGGTGGTCCCATCCTATCCTGTAAAAAACAATACAAAATCAATATTTTTCTTATTGTTTCCTCTCGACATGGACGTCCTGTCGTCCACGGCGATAATCTATTGCAAAAAATACCACAAAGAGCACACGCGCGCGTTCATGTCAGAATCCTACCGAACACCGTGTGTTTGCAAGCATTTCAACATAAAAACATCAAAAACCCAATGCTTTTTCACAAAAATTCTACAAATTTCCCGCCCGGGCTCTCTTGCTGAAATCATAGGAAAACCATAGGAATCTTAAGAATTCGGTCAAATCCAGCGATTTCACGTCATCGCGCGGTGCACTCGCGATGCTCTGTCATGCACCCAGGCCGCGAATCCTGTGCAAAAAATACCACGCGGGCGACATGCGCGCGCGTCGCCGCGAGCGCATGCTCAAATCCTTCTAGAGTCGTCGCCGTCATTGGCACCGTCGCATGGACGTCCTGTCGTCCACGTCGCAAAATGCATGGCAGGAATGGGACCCGGCTTACCGGGCCGTTCTCGACACTGCCACTTCTGGCTTCCTGCGGTGTACCGGGCCATTCTCGACTCGTCTGGCAATGCGTGCGCGGCATTCAACACGCGCTCGCCAGTTCCCGTCGGCAACCGCCATCGCGGCCGCATCAGCTGTACCAAACCGGCTGGCCGGTGTGACTTCGGCCCCCAGTTGTGCCAGCTTTGCTTCTTATGTTGTGGGAGGGCGGGTGGGACTGGGCATGCCATGCTTGACTCGCTCGAGCTGGCTAGCTTGACTCCTACTCCTACTCCTACTCCTATTCCTCCTTCTCCCCCGCATCGTCATCATCATCACTCTCGTCGTCATGAAGCATCTTCTCCCCCTGGTGCTCCTCCTCAGGCCCCTTACTATCCCAGTCGTCCCACGCTCCTCCTCCTCGTCTTGGAGTAGGACGAGCCCAAAGGAGCCGAGGACGGCCCCAAGGGAGCCCCAAGCGGCCTCACTGTCATCACTGTCATCAGCAGCAGCGACTCTCAGAACCTTGCAGAGGGTTTCAGAGGCTTTCAGAACCTTGCAGAGGGTCTCAGAGGTTCTCAGAGGCTCTAGAGCCTTGCAGAGGCTCTAGAACCTTGCAGAGGCTCTAGAACCTTGCAGAGGCTCGGAGCTTTTCAGAGGTTCGGAGCTTTTCAGAGGCTCCAAACCGGTTAGGATCTCACCCGTCCCACGTGTCCTTGACGGTTGGGATCTGAGCCGTCCGGTTGGGATCTGAATCGTCCGGTTGGGATCTGGACCTGTCTCCGCTACGCACATGAGAGCCTCGCGAGGGCCGAAAACGGCTGAAAATTATCCGTCGTGATTTGTTTCGGCGGCGAGCGAGGGGGGAAATGAGGAGGAGAAGGCCTTCTCAGAAGGCGGCGGGGCGTCTCAGAAGCCTTCGTGCCTTCTGGGAGGTGTTCTGTGTCTTCGGGGAATGACCTGGGGACTTCCGAACCTTCTGAGAAGGCCTTCTCCTTCTCGAATACTCCCCCCTTCCCTCGCCACCACTTGTTATCCACGACGCGAGCATGTCAGAGGGGGGGGGCTCTCCAGAGGGAGGCCGCCAGGGGCAGCCGGAGGTTCCCAGGGGCCTCGATGGGGCCGGGGGTTGCCGAAGGCGCCCCTGGCCCAGGGTGCCCCCAGCTTCCCGCTCCATTTTGGAGCCGCTGGGGCCCTCTTGGCCTCGTGAGACATCCCGGGCCTCGTTGGGCATCCTGGGCCTCGCTGGGCATCCTGGGCCTCGTTGGACGTCCTCGTCGGAAGCCGCGGGGGCCTGGTTTGGACCTCCTCGGGGTACTCCTTGGGCCAGGGGCACCTTCGGCAACTCCTGATGGGATCGCCCGGAGACCGGAGTCCTTTCATGGGGTCGCCTGGGGCACCTCTTCCGAGGCCTCCCCTGGCCCAGGCCTCTCTGGCGGAGCTCCAGGGGCCCAAGGGGGGTTCTCCAAGCCTTGGGCCTGTCCCTCTATAGGAGGAGTATGCAAACATAGTGACAAACATAGTATGGTGACGATTTCTCTTCTATGTTTGATAATTCTTGCGTGCGTTGCTCATTGTCGTTTTAATTTTTCGTCCTAAATCCCCCTGTAGGAGGGAGGGCACGCCCGTCCTAATCCAAGCCTCGCCAAGAATACAAGGAGGCGCTGTTCAAGGTCGAAGCGCTCGATCGTTCGGGCTCTTGTCAGAACACGCGTTTTTCGATGCCGTGAGGGTGCCGTCGGATTTCGGACACCCATGCGTCTGGGCCGGATATCTCACGCCAGCAACGAAATAGCGCCGACCATGCAAGCACCGAGCGCAAAAAAAAACCTTAATTTATGTTTGACGAGTCTGGCAGAGCAGCTGCGCAGCGAACGGCTAACAACACGAGCCGTACGCTAGTCGGGGTAAACTCGTGGGAGATTGAAATCCGCATCCGCGCTGGTATATCCTTGGCCGAAGACTGGCGCAATACCGCCAGACCCCATGGAATGCAGCTTGACACCGAAGCAAGCGCAATCCAGCTTAAGCCTGGGCTGGGTCTGGTCAGATCAGTCCGGGCGGTCACGAGGAGCTCTAAGAAGTCGCCTCCTGGCGTTTGCTGCTCGGCTGCTTCTCGCCGGGGGAGGGCCTCTTCGGGTGCTCTTCGGCCCTCTGCCTCTTGAAGAATTGCCACACGACCATGGGCTCCATCGGACGAGGCTAGGACAAGGATTGATCCGTTCCAGAGCGTTCCAGATTGCTCTCGGAGCGCTCAGGAACGCTGGGAAAGGCCGCGCCACTCGAGGCATCCTCCAGAGCCGCCGGATCTCAGAGATTCTCGATGTATTATCACCCGATGTTATCCTCGTCCAGGCTTCGTCTTAACAACTTCCAAGTCCCACATCTCCGTGAGCACTACATATTCCAAGGAGGAGGTGGGGGAGGTGGGGGAGGGTGAGGGGGAGGAGCAGGAAAAGGAGCAGGAAAAGGAGCAGGAGGAGGAGGGAGGAGGAGGAGGAGGAAGAGGAGGAGGAGGAGGAGGAGATGGAGGAGGAGGAGGAGGAGGAGGAGGAGGAGGAGGAGGAGGAGGAGGAGGCGGAGGCGGAGGCGGAGGAGGAGGAGGCGGAGGAGGAGGAGGAGGAGGGGATGAGGAGGAGGGAGAAGGAGGAAGGCGGAGGGAGGAGGAGGGAGGAGGGGGAGGAGGAGGAGAGGAGGAGGAGGAGGAGGAGGAGGAGGAGGAGGGGGGAGGAGGGAACAGGAGAGAGGAGCAAGGAGGAGGAGGAGGAAGGAGGAGGAGGAGGAGGAGGAGGAGGAGGAGGGGAGGGAGGAGGGAGAAGGAGGAGGGGAGGGAGGGGAGGGAGGAGTGGGGAGGAGGAGGGATGAGGAGAAGGAAGGAGGAGGGAGGAGAAGGAGGAGGAAGAGGAGGAGGAGGAGGAGGAGGAGAAGGAGGAGGGAGGAGGAGGGAGGAGGAGGAGGAGGAGGAGGAGGAGGTGGAGGAGGAGGAGGAGGAGGGAGGAGGGAGGAGGAGAGGGAGGAGGAGGAGGCGGCGGAGGGAGGAGGAGGTGGAGGATGAGGAGGAGGATCTTTTCTTATCACCGTCCTTCTCCAGGAAGATGAAGACCCCCGCCGCGCAGTCCGTCGGCACGCTCCTCCAGTCGGGGGTGGACCCGAGCAGCCCCGAGTATAAGTACCACTCCGAGGGCATCGTCGAGACCCTCGACAGCCTCTTGGAGGAGCTCGAAGATGATCGAGTGCTGCTAGCGGTGCCCCTGGCCCAAGGTGCCCCCCAGGATTCCCAAGGAGGCCCCCACGGCCTCCAGGAGCACCCCACCACGAGGCACGGAGGGACCCGGAGGCTCCAGAATGGAGCGACAAGTTTTAAGTCGGGCGTACCCCGCCACAGGAGGAATACTCAAAAATCGTCCAAAAATACTCTGGGGGTCATTCTTTGCGTATTTGTTTGGCAATGTGTGACTATATGTTTTGACTCTTTTTCCATTTGCCGTCCAAAATCCGTCTGTAGGGGGACACGCCCGACCTAAGGTAAGCTAGGGGCACCCTGGGCCAGGGGTACCTGAGGCACCCCCCCACAAGAGATAGAAGCACAGGTGTGAACTTCCGGAGCTCCGCGCGGATGCCTTGGATTGGCGCCGGGCCCCTACACGGTGACGCCTCCAGCGCCGCCCTTGGCGCGCTCCGCGCGCCAGGGAGGGGGACCCAGCACCGATCTGCAGGGACCTCAGACAGCTTAATTGTGTTTATGCAAGTGTTGTTCTTCTCCAGAGGAGTTCACCGCAAAGAAGACCGATCTGGACTCAGAGTGGACCAAGACGAAGGCTGCCGCGGAGCTGATGATCTCTGGCCTCGAGGCCGACATCGAGAACAACAAGAACGCGATGAACGTCCTTAACACGTCCGTAGAGGACCTCAAGTTTGGCATCGCCGCGGACACGGAAGCGTTGGTGGTGAGCGAGGCGATGTTGAAAGACGACAAGCTGTACCTCAAGGACCTCACTGCGAGTTGTGAGGCTCGGGCCACGGACTGGGATCAGCGCTCGCAGATGCGCGCGGGCGAGCTGAAGGCGCTCACGGGGGCCGTCAGCATTCTGGAGCAGGATCGAGTGCGTCCAGGGGGGGGGGGGGCTAGCCCGTGACCGAGCCAGCCTCTGGTGCCCCCCCCCCCCCCTTGATACTTTCCCAGTCACTCCTCCGCCG